GGATTGGATTCACCCCCATGTTGGGGGCAACTACACGACGGGCTGAAAGCCAGCGTCGCGGACAACGAGGCAGTCTTTGAAGCAGTTGCGATGACTAATGGATGAAGGGGGTCTGCGAACTCGTTCCCACCCTATTCAGCATCATGAACTCCGATATGTTAATAAACGTCTACTATGAGGTACGGCTGGGAACCAATACCAACCATCGATCAAACTGACAACCAATCAACATCTGATGAATGCAGACATCTTCGAGGAATTCCAATGCCAGCGTCCATGCCCCCTTGTGTGCGGATGACTACCCGCTTAATACTGCGTACTGTGAACTTATTCGTCTCTTCCTGGTTAAACTTTGGACTGATAGGCAGCATGACGAGTCTAGTAATTATGCATCAACCGGCACTAAATGATGACTACAGTGAACTTCTAATAGTAGAGGGGCGTCCACTGATCGTTTTTTAGGGAACCCCCTCGTCCCGTCGTGCCTTACGGGCTATCTCTCTCGAGCCCAACCAGCAGCCGCGCATGATATAGGCAGAATGCTATTACCGAAAAAGTCAAGGGAGATTGGAATGGCAATTTCTGGCTTATCAATCGCCGTCAGCAAGTCATACCCAACCCTGAAGTGTGGAACACCTGGGACTCGATACCGCGACCTGTTAGTTAGAAGTCCAACGCCTCTAGTAAATGTTAACTGAACTTATCTCAAATCATTGGACAACCTCGCCGACTTAGTATTCAACCCAGGTCAGTCCTAAATACTTCTTTTATAATCGCCGCGGTATCTTCCTTAACAGGAAATGATGAAGTTCGGGACTGAAGTCCTGATGACGTTTTTGCACTTGCTTAATCTGGATCGTGTCTGACCTTTGCCTGTCTCGACGATGCGGCGCATTGTACCTCTTTACGCGCAACACTAGGTAGCAGCGGATTTGGAAAGCTCGACGCATTCATTGATGATCTGTGATGCAACAGTAGATAGTCTGTTCGGGTAGTATTGCCGACATCTATCTGACTGAAAGTTGTTCATGAAGAGACAATGTTCTTCAGTGATTTTGCAGGAGCGCAAATGCTGCACAAATGAAGCTCCAGTAGAGTCTGTGGGTAATTTTCCAGTTGAATTTTTATTAAAATGACGCTTTTTATAGGTTTCCGTAAGGTAGGACTGTTACTATGTCCGCTGAAAAGATTAAATCACAGTTTCGTAATCGCTTGAGTAGTCTACTTTGCCTTCGGGGGATGAGCATTTTTCATAACTACAGAGCACGTAAGTATAAAACTTCCTCCGGGCCAGCTGTCCTCCGGATATGTGATTTACAAATTACCATTGCCAGTTACTGTGCACACTGTTCTCAGTACTTCATATTTGCTTGGCCCAGCTGAAAAGACGAGTCACTACTGAAAAGGAAAGCCAACAGAGGCAACTTGACATTGAAAAAATGCTGTCGCAAGATGGAGCAGAGGGTGGAAGTGATGTCATAGTTTGACGTCAAATAGGCTTACTAGGTGACAGTACATTTTCCGCTCCGAAAACCGGTTCTCACATAGGTGGGAACTTTTCCTCTGTGTAGTAATAACTAGTAACGTAGCTGGAATTATTCAAGTTTTTAATTTCTATTCCAGACGGATGTGGAAGTAGCATACTGTTTTAACAGATACTGGTCCACTGAGGAGTAGATGCCTTGACTGGATCCTGAGCAAACTAGTATAATGAGCCGAAAGAGATCAGGAAGGTGAAATATAAATGCGAGTTTTGAACGTCCCAAGATTACATAATATAAGTTGAGTGACCAGTTAGTTTGCTGAAGACATGTGCAGCGGATTTTGATCAAGTTATCCAGCCGTTTATTATGGACCGATTTTTAAGAACTGGAACATACCACTTGTGTGCCCCGCGTTACTTTCCCTGTTGGGGTCGCACTTTCGCTCAGATGGGACAGGCCTGGCAGGATGGTCTGCATTGTGGACGGAGAGCAGGCTGTCCGCTGGCAGCACGTTCAGTTGAGCGGCTTATATAGGCCATAACCGTTTTCCGGTCACAACTATCTGTCAGTCCTGAGATATCGCGAGTTGCGACACGCCGTTCAGTGCAAGCGGTGAGACCGATAAAGCCGT